TTCATAATTATAAAAACAAGCTGAGGAAAAGCAGTCCTCTGTATTGTTCTATATTACAAGCAAAAAAGGAAAAACAGTGATATTTCAATAAGGAGATGCTTCTCCATGACTATTAATAAGACAAGACAGAAACAGATTGGAGGGACTGATGGAAACACTTCAGGACTGCTCTTACTCTGCAAGAACAGAGACATTTATTCTTCTTCAGAGGTGGATGGCGCTGTGGGAATTTCTGGTTAAGTCACGTCTTATATGTGAGAACAGGCATGTGCATTCCCTGAGTGTCTTGAACAGAAGGGCCAAAACCTTCCCTCCCAATGAAAACACACACCCCTAATGAAAGATATGTTATAGTTAAGTAGCTTCAGTAAGAAATTTGGGCTGTAATCCTAAACTGGAATGTTTGGCCCTAATAGTTGCTTTATTAAAGAATACCATAACCCCAGTGGGATAAGCTGGTGGCATGATCATGATATTTAGACAGAAAAAAACTGTTGTTCAAGATAGCTAAATGCATGCATATTTTTTAATCATAAACCTTCAGAAAAAGAGAAGTATATATTTTTTCACCATCTCAGTGCGTCGATGAATGGCTTCACCACAGGAAACATGTAGTTTTAGTTTTAGGGTCATTAAGGGCAGAGAAAAAAATGGCAGGAGTGACGTCACCTAAAGAGGATTGTGGAGAAGAGATGTTCTTAGAATCTGTGATTCAGAGAGGAATTTAAGATGCAGGATGGTGATAGAATCCCACAAAGCAAAACTGAATATTTAAACTGACTGAAAATATGCTTCAGAAGAGGTTTGCACACTTATACACTACTGCAAGCTTGTAAAACCCTTTTTATTTCTTTAATTTCCCCCTTTAACCAATATAGCAGGGAAAAGTTTTCAAAATTACTTATCTTTTTATTAAGTAATATAATTTTAAAAGGCAAGGTTCTTTTTTTTTTTACATCTGCCTTATGATTTTTATTTTTAAGGTAATTTTAAAAGGCAATTCTGCTTCTATCCAACTTTATTTAGATGTAGCTTGATTTATATAAACCAATGAAGTGGCTGCTTTGGTCAATGCAGAACAGCGCAAGAATTTGGAAGTAAAACATATAATATAAACTGTAACAAACAAAGCTGGATCATGATCAAAGTTAATTGTTTTTAATGGGTCAGATTATACACTTGTCAGAGAACATATTTTGGTGTAAGATTATGCAGCTACTATGAAACAACAACTTCTCCAAATGTGTTTATATTTACTGAAATGCAATTCAAGTAACATGAAAATACTTTTTTTATTATGTTTTATATTTCAAGATAAACGCTTATGGAAGCATATGAAGATACAAAACTGAGATCTATTTAGGCATTAAAAATTTATAGAAAAAGGCAGAGACACGGTTCATACTTAAGGAAGTGAACTTTATTTAAATAAATAGCCACATAAATAAACAATCTTTCTTTAACATTTTTTCCTTTTCATCTTCTGGTCCTCCTCTTCACACATACATTCACACATTCGCACACACCAAGACGTGATCATGCTCAGTCAAGTAACAATTTTGGAAAAAAACAAACAAAAAACAGGAAATACCTATTATCTGGAGTTTCTATCAAAAGGATCATCTTACCGATTTGCATCACAATTCTTAGTGTTTCAACAGGTTGTTGTTTTTTCCATTATGAGAAACAAAAAAATTAATTTATACGAATAAAGTGCATTTTATTTTCTGTTCAAACAGAAAGCTTAAAACAAATTTTAAGAGGAACCAATGAATGAACAAAGGAATGAATGGCTGCTGACAGGAGCAGCCATTATTCCTTCTTCAGAGTCACAATCAGACACGGTGGGTTCTGAATGTGAGTTTGCTTGGATAAAAGGCACAAGTGTCACTGATGAGTGCAATCTACCAAAAAAGGACTGGAGTATCAACACTGCACGTCTCCAGGTTCAGGGCGGGAACCTTGAAAAACACTGCTCTCCTATGAGATCTTTCACAGATATGAGACGACTAACTGAACACACAACAACACACATCGCTTCATCTGAAATAAGCTTGTAGCCACTGAATAAAGTTCAGCTTCCTTCACAATATGGTATTGCTATGTTTAGGTGTATTTCTTTTTTTTATTTATATTTTCTTCTTTTTTTCTAAAAAAGTACAAAAAAGGGAGAACACAACCATGGTCCTGTCAGTAACAGCTACATATACAAAGACAAGGAGTAGCTTTAGGATTAGGTGGCAGCAGGAGTTTCAGATCAACTTAAAATGGTTGCTTACCACCGGGCTACATCTTTAGACACCATTTGAAAAGAAAAAAAAAAGTCAGTAGTGTGTCTTTGACAGATCACCCATCTCTTGTGCTGTTCGCTCTTTGGTAAAACCCAAAATTCCTTCCTGTCTTTTAACTGCAAATGCGCTGTTTTGAAATGCCTTCCTCTAAATCACTACAGTGTTGTGTTTTATTGGATCACATATAACAAGTACCTTTTCTGGTCAGTTAGCTAGCGCAGTAAGATCAAACACTTTTAAAGTAAAAAAAAAAAAAAAAAGAAAAAACCTCAGGTGAAATACAAGTAGTCCTGAACCTTGTCTCTCCGTCGTGTGAAATATTGCACGTTCCCACAGACTTTGTTCTGTCCAGCGTTCCTATGAGACACACGTGGAGCCTCGAGATTGAAGGTTAACGTCCGCAACAGTGTGAGGGCAAAAACTTTAGCTCCTTATTGAGCACTTTAGGTCAAGCTATGCACTAATGTTGGGTTTGATCTGGTATTGTTAAATTAAATAATGAAGAATATATATATAAATTATCATTATTGCTATAAATACACTAAATTAATTTAGCCAATTTTTCAATTAATTAAAACTGCATATAAAAACAGCTCATGCAAGTTAGCTGAATATAAACGTTAGCGATTCTTTTCCTTTAAATGCCTTCCCCCAAAAATGTTGCCACTCACAATATGGCGGACGAGCTGCTGCATTATCTCTAACTGGGGAGCAATGCTTCCACTCTTGCGATGTCTGAAGTGATAAACGTGATGTTTCACCTTGTTGCCTAAGGTTTGTAAAAGCATCTAACCTGGAGGTGTCCAGCAAACGAAGACATTGTGGATTTTTGCACCTATAGCTCGACTGGGACCGATGTACCTGTGTGTGCTTTAGCTAAACCAGCGAGACAACATCTTCATTCAGTTTTGGCTGATTATAAGATAGCAGTCTTTCAGCTTGAGGTAAAAAGCAGCATTTTGCGTAGCAAAAAAACAAGCTCGCAATGAAACCAAAACAAAAAAAATCATCACAGTTTCGATACAAGTCCTTCAGTGAATGCTCGTAAGCTCCAGGCGCTATACTGCATGTTCATTGCACTGCTACAGAGAAATGTCTCAAGAAAGGCGAATAAAGTTTGGGAAGAATTTTGGTCTTCTTATTTATAGAAGAACTAGAACGAAGAGCAGTGGAGGGAGTATTCCTGTTCACTTAGACAGCATCAGAATTTAAAAGTCATTTCAGCTAATCTCATTCAAGTGAGTCCATCGGAGAGCTGGAAGAGAGCCTTTGAGTCTGTTATTGCTTCTCTGGCTGCTGAATTTACCACCTCATCCAGAGTTTGGTTATTGCTTAGTCTCTAGCTTATATGATCTCAAAAACACACATACGTGGACACATTCTCACATGTGTGCCTCATGTTCAACGATGAGTCAGATTATCGCTTGCATCAGCTTTTTTGTATCTTCCGCTCAGTTGTGCTCTTTCCTTGGACCGTTTTATTTCACCATCACGCAGCTGCTGAGCTGCTGCTGTCCGGCCATGCCCAGCTCCTGCATGCTGGGGTCCACGCCGGAGGCCGAGTCCAAGCTCCAAGGGGCCAGCTTGGATGAGACGGGGAACGGCCCGTGCGTCGCGGACTGAGGCTGCTGCAGGACGGCGAAGGGGAGAGGCTGGGGTTGCTGGCTGATGTGCAGGCGGGCCTCCAGAAGGTAGGCGGCGGAGGCCACGGGAGACAGTGAGGAGGCGTAGCAGCTGGATGAGGCCGAGGAGCAGCCGGAGAAGGAGGAGGAGGTCTCGAGTGTTTGATGCCATAGGCTCGCTGGAGCTTGCTGCTGAGAGGGAGAAGGCAGGGAGGGTTGGGCGGTGGGAGCATCAAAGATGGAGGAGGGAGTAAATGTGGATGTAGGTGGAGGAGAGGGTGACTGCTGCTGTGCCAGGAAGAGGAGAGGGTTCTGAGGGTGTCCTGTCTGGGTGGCCTGGATCTGAGCTGGTTGTTGGTGCTGAATCTGCAGCATCCTGGAAACAGATGAAAAGTCTGAGATCCTGCTCTACAATCAGGATAAAAGATACCCTAGCCTTTTAAAAAACAAAAAAGGTCAGACATAAATGAGTCTCACCTTTGCTGGTGCAACACTTCCTCCAGCATGCTGCGGTGCTCAGAGAAGGCTGGCCCCAGTGAGCCTCGGCTGCCGCGGGTGGAGGAGGGAGGGGGAACAACCTGCCTGGCCAGACCCTTGATCTTATTTAACCCCAGAAGCCCTTTGGTGCGTGTGTTTTTCCTCAGCTGCTGGCGGAAAGCTTTCAGGCCTACAGAGACACATTAACCTTTAGGTGACAAGGTGCAAACAGGCAGAAGGTTGGGTCATTTTGGAGGGGGCTTTCTGAGTTCGTACCTTGTGTGAGGGAGGTGTCAGAGGCCCGGCGACCCTCCTGGAAGCTGACTGCTGGCAGACTGCTCTGAGTTTGGGGAAGGAGGTGGGAGGAGAGAGCCAGAGGAGCTCCGGCAGGCAGCCGAGCTCCACCTTCAGCACCTAATGCTAGAAGTGTGGACATCTCCCCCATAGCAGATTGTAATGTGGGAGTGGGGCTAGATGAGGACTTCAGACAGCTGTCCGATGAAGCTCCATCTGAGGGACTGACCACAATACCTGCAGAGACATGAAGGAGGACAAGTTTTAATATTTTGACCTGCCAAAGTGGAGACTTTAGCTGTATTTAAAATAAATACTAACAGGGAGGGTTGCACTGGTGGAAACGGGCGGAGACCTCAGCCAGAGTGTGTCTGCGGGATGTTGTGGGAGGGAGCAAGGGCCCGAGGCTCTGTGTGGCCTCCTCCTCCTCCAGGTCCCTAGGACGCACCTCCTCACTGATGCTGGTCTCCAACAGGCTGTTGGGTGAAATTGAGCGGTTCCAGAGGAGCCTGTTCAAGCTGGCCTCCACTGGGAACACCACCCGCTGGCAAACAGAAGGAGGAAGACTGTTGTTGGAGACTGGATGCTGCATTTACTTGTGGTCTTCTGTGGACTACAGCGAGCTGCTCAATGCTGTTAGGTTTCTATTTACCTGGAATAATCCACCTTGGTCACACTCCACCTCAGAGTACACAGGAGAAGTGTTTTTGGCTGGAAGTGAAAAAGAAGGCGTTCTAAACGTCTCACCGGACTCCATGATAACCTAGAGGAAACCAGAAAAGGCAAAAAGGCTTTAAAATAAAATCTAAATTAAGACAAATTTGGGTTTTCTACATGGGGATGAAGCACTGACCTCTGGGCCGGTGGAGTCAGATGTGCTCCTGGGTCTTTGGTTCCACGTGCCACACTGACGACTCAGCTGCTGAGCGCGATGCTCTCGCACTCGCTCTAGGAGCAGGTAGTAGATTGCAGAGAAGTGATTATAGCTGCTGCTCTGCAGAGACTGGAGAAGAAGGAACGGCAAATTAGTGACTGTTAACAGAAATAACACACTACAGCTGCTGATTTGAAGTGACCATGAACTACAGTGCCTCTGGAAAAAAACTGTTAAAGCCCCTTTCCCACATCTGACATTACTTTTTATCTGCAGGTGCCCAAAGCTCTGTGTATCCCAATAAGTTGCAGCCCAAACAGAAAGAGTTTTAATGAATAAACGAGCCTCAGTTACCTCGATTGTCCTCTGGCGGTCGATGCCCAGTGTGTTCATGATTCCCAGGACTGGTTCGCTGTAATCACCCAGGTTGGAGTTGTATTCAGTGAGGGAATGGCTGAGGGTTTGATGAGCAGCCGACGGGTCAGCCAGCATCCAGCGGTGTTGCTTGATCTGGGCTATGCTGATCCTTTTAGCTGGGTCTACCACTAGCATCTTACGGATCAGATTTTCACAGTCTGTCGGGTGTAAAAGAAGTAAAATGAGACTGACTGATTCTAGGAAGCTCGTCTTTAGATTTTGTCAAAAGGAAAATGGTTACCTTGAGACATAAAGAAGGGGATCCTGAATCGACCCTCTGTGACTCTCTGTCTGAGCGCAGGGAGGCTGGGAGCGTCGAATGGAAGAGAGCCGCAGACCAGGACATACAGCACCACACCGAGGCTCTGTGAGAACACGAAGGAAACGGTTAACTCAGGGCTCATTTCTCCTGTTAGCTGTTTTCTCTCCATCAGTTATGTGCTTTACCCAAATGTCAAGCTGTGGCCCCTCATACTCTTTCCCCTCAAACACTTCAGGCGCGGCATAAGGCGGGCTGCCGCACCACGTAGTTAGAGGATCCCCGGCATTGTAGAAGTTTCCAAATCCAAAGTCTAAAAAGCAAGAAAAAAACAAAAAACATTCTCAATCATTGCTTAAATACAAGGAACACCCTACTGCTGTCAATCCCCTCTGCTAATTACTGCTAGTGAACTGACTCAATCGCTTGCTTTTAATCAACACACATACAGAGCAACACTGATTTAATTAGGGCCGTTTAGGAATCCCAGAGAGGCTGCAAATACTCTTAAACCAATTAACTCTGTCTAGCATTTTACTTCCCAGTAAAGCAGTGAATGGTTTAGAGACCTACCAGCCAGTTTGATGTTCATGTTGGCATCCAGCAGCAGGTTCTCGGTTTTCAGGTCGCGGTGGACGATGTGATGTCGGTGGCAGTAGTCCACCGCTGTGAGGATCTGCCAGAACTTCCTTCTCGCCTCATCTTCGCTCATGCGGCCGTTTGAGGTCAGGTGGTCTGGAAGAGGAGAGGGAATGTTTAAGCTACACATTTAAAGATTTCTCTGCAGTTTTTAACATTTGTCAGAGCTAAAGAATGGCATTTAATTAAAATCAGAAAAACTGCCTGCGGCATTACAGTTCTAGTAATAATACTTGATCTCAGGACATTAAAATGAAAGTGAAAGGGTTTCATTATGGGGATCAGAGAAGAACTCACCAAACATCTCTCCATTCTTTGCATACTCTGTAACGATGTACAGCATGTCTTTGGTTTCCATGACCTGGGAGGGAGAAAAGAGAGTTTAATGTGACTGAGTCAAGTGTAAGCCTTGTTCCAAGAAATCCACAGCAGCCGCCAGACATTTCCTAACCAGCAAAACCTCCTTCTCATACTTGTCCATAAAGTTGTTCCACTCATTGCAAAAAATACCAAAAGGCTTTCTGTCGGCTCTCCGGTTACATAAGCTGACCAATTTCCTGAACGCGTTTTTATCATGTTTTAAACACCGGTTTACACACGTCAACACAAAAACCCTAACCGAAACATTCCTGACATTCACTCACAGACCAGCTACTTAAATAATTTTGAGTTTTTTTCTGTGGCTAGTACTAGTTGGCAACACATGCTCTATGTGTTGAATTTCCAATTTTCCCCAGCGTCCTTTATCACGTATAAAGTGCAACAGATTCACACAGGGCTTTCTCACACTGGGTCTCTCTTTGTGCTAGAAGTGGTGTACGTGCCGTGAAATTCCCAGTCCTTTCCTGGAGCACACAGAGGGCCTCCGTTTCCTCTAAACCCCCCCCAGGGAGGGAGCAGTTTCAACTGAAAGGTTGCACAACAAAGCAATTTTCCGTCAGACAACAAAAAGTCTGTATGGATGACGCCGCGGGCCGGCTCTGAAATAAAAGTCACCAAATTCCACTGAATGGAGGATTTTTATTTTAGTAAACGGGCGGAATCAATACAAAGTCCTCTAAGTGGGAAACAGTGGTTATCCAAGACAGAGCCGCGCTCCTGAGCTCAGACACCTTGAGGTGATGCTAACGTCATAAACCTGTCGCTTTAAGCGATCCATTCAGCCATGTTTTACATTTCAAAAGCCTCCTAAGCCTTTACCATCTGATCAGCTAAGCTAAAACCAGTAGGGGCGTTTACTGATAATAAGAGACAAAGAAAGGTCAGTTATTGTTGATAATAGAGAAGGAAAAATGCATCTCGTTCCCATGATGATGGTAACAGAATGGAAGCAGCAGCTGATCAGAGGAACAGAGGGGGCAAAAAATACAGTACTAAGATGAAGATCACAAGACCGCCTTATGCCAGATTCCTTCCTTTGTACAGGAAGAAGAGGATTATGTGACTAGCATCATCTTCATCAACCCCTCAGCCAAAGGCTAGGTCACAAAGAGGCTACAGAAAGACACAAGACCCATCTGAGTGATGCAACATAGCTGTTTTTCATCAGTTCATGACTAACAAGCCAAACCAAATCACACCTGCTGCTTTACAACAAAACATCCAGAACATCAGTGGTTTTTAGCCTGTTAAAGCCACAACACTGAGACATTAATCATCTCCTCAAACGCTGCAGGTTGATTCCTATCGGCGTAGGGACTGAGACAGCTTAGTATCTGTCCGTTAAGACATTAATCCGTGTGAAACTGCTACCATAAAGGCCTTTTATGAGTCTATTCTGTCCTTTTAAAGAGACCACAGGGAACGCCAGCAAGGTTTCTCCAACTATACAGAAGGATCGACACAGAAGCGCCCCACCCCCACCTATTGCTGCAGTTAGAAATATTTGAGGTTCTACCTAAAGTCAACCTTCTAATGTTGGCTTGAGAGAGATATAAGGTTGTTCTCTGTGATCGGTAGATTTATTTAAAACAAGAAGCGCTGTTAAATTTAGAATATGTTGTCTCTGTAATTAAGGTATTAAAAATAACAACAGCAGCACACAGCTATTATTATAAGTTAACTATCCATGGTTATGAATGGTAAGCAAAATGTATTTTTTTTAAGTTTTCATCAGAATCTATGCAGAATCTATGCAGAAGAAATCCAAACTTTTACAACAAATGGATCGATATCAGGAATAAAAAGTACAATTTGATTGCACAATGTTAAGGCCTTCTTTTTTGCTTTGTTTTATAGAATCTCCTTAAAAATTGTATTTTGTCTGCACATTAAATAATACCAATAATACAAATACTAAATAATACAAATAACACAGGATCATATCAATTATTAATTAGCAGTAAGGCTATATTTTTTTGCTATTTATAGCTTGATATCGTTCAATTATTTTCCTTCACTTATAAGTAGAGTAATGTGGGGAATAGGGGCTTCCCTGAAATCATGTTATGATATTATTTTAGTTTAAATCAGCTTTTAAACCTATCATCATAAAAGAAAGAGGAGAATAGTAATGAAAAGACCATCATGCGTTCTTTTTCCCAGTGGTATTTGTTTATAGGTTCCTTGCCAGACGGGTGCCAAAGTGCAGCAAGGTCAGCTGAGAAGGTAAAAGCGGATTCTTCTCACTAAGTCCTCAATTTGATTAGGGAGTAAAGCAGCGCTTTGTGAGGAGGCTTTCACGTGACTCACAAACACATTGCACTTGGCTCTAACAAGTGCTAATTGGACTTAATGTTCTGATGTTGCACATTCCCTTCACCAGCACTCACCTGACTGCTCTGAAACCAACATTTCTGCAGCCAGCCTCTACAATTATACAACCAGAAAAAACATCCCAGAAATGCATTGTTCCCAGGATCGAGTGGTGCCCATAAATGTCCTTGCCCTTGTATCACACAGAGTGAGAGATAGAGAGGGAGGTCAAATAGGATTGCACTAATGCTGTTGTTCTGTACTTATGATTTAAAGTAGTCTGGGAATCATTGGCTCATCACAAGCTGGTAAAAAACCACTTAAATGCAAAATGCCCCTTATTTGCTTCCCTCGCATATTCCCACTCCTATATCCTGATGCATGCAATAATGACGCACAACGCTCTACAGTCCGATGCTGCTAAAAGTGCAAAGTTTACCACATCCCATTCGTGCACAAATTTAGACCAACTTCCAAGGCATAAGGAGGGAAACTCAGAACCTGCACGCCTTCCAGTAATCTGCACACGTACTGTTGGACCACATGCAAAACTGCAGCAGATGAGATAAGATAAGACACAAACCTGGTAGAGCTTGATGATGTGGGGATGGTTCAGCAGCTTCATAATCTGCACCTCTCTGTAAATTTTCTCCAGGTTAGATGGACTCAGCCTGGTCTTATCGATAATTTTAATTGCCACCTGAAAAAGGGAACACATGAGAAATTATAAAAGGGCCTAAATAAAAATAAAAAATGTGCACAGAATTTGAAGTAACTACAAATGCATGATAGGATAACTGACTGACCTGCGTTTTGGTGACTTTGTGCCTGGCCAGTTTTACCACTGCAAAGTTTCCTTTCCCCAGGGTGCGGATGATCTCATAGAAGCCAACCTGTAGCGGCCTCCCTTGAGCAGGGCTGGGCTGAGCAGCCATGCTGGTGTCCGTCATGATCACCATGGTGGAGAAAATGTAGTAACAACGCTAAAAGGAAGGTGTTTATCTGTACAGACAAGCAAAAAGAGAAAGGAAAATGTCACTGTTTTGAAAGAGTATTTGTTTTAAAATACTAATTCAATTAAAAATATTCATTCAATCTATATAGGCTTAGGAAATAAAAGAAAAGAGAGAAGCTATGTCTAAAAGTAGATGTTATTGTAATTATAATTTAATATAAATACTATTTTTATCTGAAATATATATTTTTTATTTTATGACTATACATTATCATAGTTTTACATCAAAAATTTGAAAGAATCAGGTGAAATTATCGTATTTGACCCAAGGGCCCAGATTGTTTTATTCATTTTTGTTAACTGAGAAAAAAAAAAAGTATAAAGCACATATAAAAAAAAAGAAAAAAAAAAGGAGATGAGGTCTTACCTTAAAAAGATATAAAGCGCCTTCTCTTACAGTTCAGACAGCTATGTGTGAAAAAGTGAACCATTCCTCTATAGCTCCGAATAAAAAAACACATGAAAGAAGGGAATCTGCTGGGAGACAGGAGCGTTGCAACTTTTCCCCTTCAGGACTTTTCTAGGAGCGCGACTGTAAGGGTTTCGGCCCGGGACTGTTCTGCGCCGGTGTGTGCCTGAAAGCTCCGCCGGAATGCAGAGCTGAGGGCTTCTGCACTCACAGGGGGAACTCCTCCTCCTCCTCCTCCTCCCCTTCTCGCGCCCTCCCCCCCACCGCCACCATAACAAATTGATACCCACCTCATTAACGTCACACCCGCGTCAGAGCTCCGAGCTGGGTGCGAGGCGAGGCCGGACCCGAGCGCGAGGCACGGGTTGCCGAGCAACCGCTCGGCTAGGGCGCATGGTGACGCGTGTGCTGATGGAGAGGTTGCTTGGAGATGGGGACGGTGACGTCAGTCGTAAAGATGTGTCACCACGTGATGTTTCCGTCCGCCGGGCTGGCTGGCTGCTCGCGGGCTCTGCGGCGCGTTCCACTCCACCGAGCGGGAGCGCGCCCAGCTTTATTGCAGGAACAGAAACAGGAAGCAGACTGACTGTGCTGTTCTCAGAATTAAACATATTTCTTCAATCTGAAACCTTCTCTAAAATTAACCACTTTTTCATTTTCACTTAAACATGCAGTGGAGCCTACTTTTTAAAAAATTATCACGATATTTAATTTAAAATGCATTTTAAAAGTATTACAATTTTTTAAGGAAACCACAGAGTGCATGATGGTACTTTTGTTAAAGCAGCAAAGTAGTCATGGGTTCGAATCCCAGTAACTGTCCTTGCTCAAGGTTGACAGGCCTTAATTTTCTAAGTGTTTGCAGGAATCCTTTATATCAAATAATTCCCACTGGGTTAAAGTATAGTTTTGCTGTGTCTTTAACAAAATGTGGTTTCAGTAATGATTTTTAACCAAACTTGAATGACTTTTAAGTTTAATTGGGAAATAATGGAGATCTGTATTTTGAATCCAGTGAGCATCCTACTGTTTGCAAATGGAAAATTACAAACGCGTAAACAATCCAAACTTAAAAGTACAAAATAATAAAATCCTATGGAGCAGAAAAAATGGTGTATATAAAATACAGAAAAATATGCAAAGACAAAAAAGTTGTAAACATAGAAAATACACAAAAAACAAAACCTATAAAAAGCCACAAAGCAAATGCAAAGAATAAAATGCTGCATTCAAAGAAGCCAGATTTATTTACACCATATACAAAACATATGAAGAGTAGCGGTTAGAGCATTATCTTAAAGACGGGGCAAACATTTAACAAATTCAGACGAGAAAAAACAGACAATTTCCCCCTAGGGTCTATTCTATTGTATTCTGTTCTATTCTATTCTATTCCATTCTATTCTAGTCAGCCATTGTCCTTTGGGGTGAGATACAAATCCATCTTTTTTTTAAAGAAAAACTTTTATAGCAACTAGCTGTTGAAATGTAAAAAATATTGGCAGCTGTTTTACCTCATTACTTTGTTGCAGCTGCATTTGACTGCTATAGTTACCGAAAAGTTCGGTCGCATTATGGTCCCGCGTCCTGCGCTGTGATTGGTATGATCTGTTTTAGACCAGAGAATATATTTTTGAAAAAGCTGTCATCTTGCTCCACACATTTGCCCACCAAATCAGATCTTGTTAAAAGATAACAGCCACATGTTATAAAATAAAATAGAAAAACAATCAACTTTTCTCTTCCCTCCAACTTTCCTCTGGGCTTCCCATTGGCTTCAATAGTGTCTATATGGTGCATCTGATGCAGTCAACTCTCCTAGTGGTGCGGAGATTTATTTTGCTTCTTATAGCAGCATATTTGCCTTTGCAATCGTTTTATGAATTATTTTAGGTTTTTGGTGAGGTTCAGTTTTTTGTTAAACAATTTTTCAAATGCAGCATTTTCTGTTGCTTTTGTTTCTTGTGTTTGCAGCACATTTAGCCAAATCCAACACTTTGATCTGTCAACTAAAATAACACTACAGGGATATATTAATAAATGTTGCGCAGTATTTTGTATGGCAGTGCTTTGATACCAACAAGTTGTCAAGGTGCAAAAAAAGGATATTTATATTTATACTTACATAATGATGATTTTATATGCAAGATAGCCAAGTAATTCTAGCTTTCTAAGACACTTTAGGGGCTATTCTGTTAGTTTTTCTGACTCAGAAATTGTGAATTTTAACTTCCAAGGACATGTTGAGTAAAGCATTCCAAAGGCTCATTGCAGTACCTCAATATATGTATTTTAAAATTCTCAGTCATTATGTTGTTGACTTATTGATTTGCTGCTGTGTTTGGGATCGATGTCCTGTCGCTGACCCATTTTTAACCAAGCTTAGCTTTCAAACAGATGGCCACACCAACAGATGGGGTATGTAAGCGCTCTTGGTAGACTCTGAACAAGTAAGCCACAAACAGCTGTTTTCTTTTGTTTTGAGATAATCCAGTTATTAGCAGCAGTGGCTGCTACTTCTTAATGATTATTTACATACTGCTTCTGTTCATATATACATTTGTTGATACAATGTATTAATATCTCATATAATAAAGCCTAAAAAGATACATTTTTTTATCTTTTTACTGTTTTACTTGAATAATTTACCAATACCATGCAGATGCTCTTCTTTAGGTGAGATTGCAGCTTTTTAAACTCCTAAACAGTCATTAGATATCTACAAACATATCAGCAATTTGCAAATGCATGATCTTATCAGTAATGATAGTGTGGTTTCACTGACTTTCAATTGAAGTGACCTTTCTTTTCACCACGAAAGCCCCTATTTTATTAATTTGTCAATTTCTGCCTCTACTTATCAACTAATGTATACATGAAAAAAAAACCAAAACAAAGTCATCAAAATATGTCAGCATGTTTTTGGGATCTGATTGACACAGATCATTAAAAAGGTGGCAGCATGTGGCTGTGACACTGCGTGACGTGGGCCAGAGAAAAGTCACTATAAACAGCAAACAGAAAACTACTAATTGTGTGCTGCCACACTCTCAAATGTTAAAGGAATGCAAATCGCATGCAAAATGTCACAACTCAAAGGTCACACAGTATTTTGATGCACACTTGCAACTAAACCACATACAGCCTACAGAGCATCTAGTCACGCTTTTTTGGTATTCAAATGTCTACTGCCATTTCAATATGAGCATCCCCTGCATGCTGCAGATGTTGTACTTCCTGTGTGGGCAAGGCTGAAACAGAGTATTTGCCTTAGTCAGGGTGTGAAAGCAGCAAGGTTTTCTTGCACAAAAATGTTCAACGATATATTTTGGGAATTTACTCATTTAATTTGGGAATCCGGGAATCCTCTGCATATAATTTATCAAACAGTTAAGAAAAAAATGTGTTTGTGAGGAAAATGTATTCCTTTAGCCTTTTCCAGATTTTTTTTAATATTCAGCTGTTTACCCATATTTGGAAAAAGAATTCTCCTTCTAGGTTTGAGAGAAACATGCAACATTAACGCTCACTGTCCTATTGGGTCTTATCAGCTACTTCCAACCCTTCCCCCAAACCTTGCATCCCCTATGATGTGTTTACACAACAATACAGCAAATCTTATATTTCCTGTTTACGCTAGTAGATGCACCATTTACGTTACTGGTGATGTAATACATTTATCAACAGTTTGATTATTGGCAGGTCAGTGGTGAAACTACACACACATGTTAGCCGGCTAAGATAAAGGTTGCTTTTCAATCTGTAAGACAAGTCTAGATAACTACTACAGCTACCGATTAGAAAATCCAAAATCATAAAAGAAAATATATTACCTGGTTCAAATATACTGTATCTATGTTCCAAATGGCATAGATTATTATACTCTACAAATGTAAACCTAATTTTAATTATCAGTATGGAAATACAAAACTATTTAAAAAAAGAATTCAACCCAAATCTTTCTTTAGGTACAAAGTCCTCCAGATCATCTTCACACTTCCTTTCTTCCTCACACAAACAAACCTCTCATAATAACCCCAGTGCAGTCACCGTCTCCCTGCCCTCTGCTCTGTTTGATTATAATCAAAACTAACTGCTAATGTCGAGCTCTAACAGTTGGTATCAATGTCAAATATGTTGACCTACTTCTTTTAAATTGACAAATAATAACAGTGTTGGATTGCCTGCTATCAGAGGCCACCAGAATATCTGCAGGAAATTGCAAGAAACACTCGAGCACTGCTGGTTTCTCTAAAACAGCAACAACAACAGTGGTGATTATTGCTTCACATGTGGAAAGCAGATTCAAAGAAAAGAGACATAGTGTCTCTACTTTCCACATTTATGACCTTTAAGCTAAAAGGGGTAAACAAAGGTCACCTCAGAGTGGTATTTCAACCTCTTCCTTAAATTCAGCGGACTGACAGTTAGCAGAAGGCGTATGACAGGAGGTAATGAGTCACGAATGTGACCTGAGAACTTTCTGTTTGCAACACGTTGATATATAGCGGTCGTGTGTTCTTTTATGTATCTACCATCCAGACCTGTTAAAATGTGAGTACTAGCAGGAACTAATGTTTCAAAGAGGAGGAAGGAGGGGGAATCCCTTAAACCAGAGATCAAACATCTATTTTCCTTAATTAGGTTGAGTTTATTGTGTCTTGTTAGCTAATCAAATAAAGTCCAGTGTCCTCTGGCTGCAACTTGAAAACTATACTTTAAAAGTATGTTTACCCATAGAAAAGAGATCCACTCAGTGAGATTGCTCTAGTTTTATACACAGCTGTTAAATATTTTATGCGTTTTCCTAATGGGATCAAATAAACCGTCCTTTCAAAGATGTCTCCCTGAAAACTAAACTGACTCATGTCTGATTTATCTAAATTTGAGGTGTGATCCATGCTCCGAGAATTTAATCGATCTTGGGTTTGTGTTTTTTTTAGAAACACTCAGTAGTTTTCAGTTGCTATTATTTGAGACACCTTAAGTCTGGAATTTCAATCGTTACTGTAGAAAACATTCAATCTGCTAAAACCTTTTCAGATTCTTTTCATATAGACATGCAAATTTCAATAGATTTATTGTGGTTTTATGTGATAGGCTGCCCACTAAGGCCAACATAATGTTTATTTAATGAAATGAAAAAACTTTTTTTTTCATATAAATAAATCTGTAAGAATGTTTCAAATCTATATTAATGC